GCTGGAGGGATGAGCCTGTGCAAACCTCAGAAGTTCAACAAGGCCAAGTGCAAGGTCCTGCCCATGGGTCAGGGCAATCCCAAGCACAAATACAGGCTGGGCGATGAGTGGATTGAGAGTAGCCCTGAGGAGAAGGACTTGGGGAGTATTAGTAGATGGAAAACTGACTGTGAGCCTGCAACGTGCGCTCGCAGCCCAGGAATCCAGAAAACCTTCCATTGCTAAAATATTTGAACAACTTGAAAGCAGCACAGAAACTTAATGGTTAATTGGGTACTTAGACACATACACTCTTAAAAAAAAAAAAAAAAAAATTTCCAAATGGTCCTTAATAACCTGCAGTTTTATTCATTTATTGAAGGGGCTGTAAGTTCATAACCCACTTATGAAAAGAGGGAGTCCAAATTGCAACTTTTGAAAATGTAACCCACTATAAGTAGCTACAATAGCAAGATTTATCTTTTTCTTATGTGTAGGTTTGTTTATTTAAATTTATGGAAACAAAAAGCTCTAGGCGCCTAGACACATATTAAGAAAGACAAATTAACATCAACAACAGGAGCAATCTTAGTAATTTCCTCTATGTGCAAAGGGAAAACAAACCTCTCTGCTATGTACTAATCCCAACCCCAATATTCCCCCGGCCCTCGGGTGCCCTTTTCTTCCTCAAAAGCCTGGGAACAGAGATGGGGGCTTTACAATATGCCTAAAAGATCAGCAGTAAGCTTACTTTAGAATGAAGAACAGGGAGTAGAAAACACTAAGGAAAACAAAGCACGAAAAACCCCCACCCTCCCTGAACAACTCTTAATATTTTTTGTTATGAAGAGAAGCTTTTTGATGCCCGCAAGGCTGTGTTCATCTTTAGCAAGCAATGACTGTGTGTTCTTTCCTGTTACCCCTGCTCACTCATTCTTTTGGGGTTTTTTTTGGTTTTTTTTTTTTTTCTAGTGAGGGTTACACAAAAAATCAGAGGCATTTGGATCATTAAACTTATTTATTGTTTAAACTTTCTAATTTGACATCACCCATACTCTGCAACCAAACCAAAAATCTGGTTGTGGAAAGTTAAGACAAGTGGCCAGGTTACAGACTGCATTTCCACAGCACTTACAGTTAGCCAGCATTACTAACCCCAAGAATGGAAAGCCATTAACCAGATCACCCCGAATCAGGAAGCTGGTTCAAAACCCACAGCATTTCCCTTCTGTGATTCATGTTTTCTGCCACAGCTGTTCCACTGCATGTCTTTCGGCAAATGAGCTAGGAGACAATCTTGACAACATCCTTTTACTGTTGCTCCCATATATAATTTCCTGATATTTATAGAGGGTACAAAACCAGATACGCTGTCACAGACGTGTCTTGTGAGTTCACAGATGCAACGCTGAGCTTTTAGATTCACCCTGCGCTCCTACCGTTTTGGTCAGCTTATGAAATAATTCTCCCATTTCAAATGACTGCAAAGATACAAGCCACTAAAATCAGGGCTTTGTAAGAAAAAAGTGACGAGAAAGCTGAAACCAGCACTATTAATTACAGGCATAATTGTAAATAAATATGAGTATATCTGAATCTAAAGTGAGGTTGAAGAGAAGAAAAATTGCATATATTTGAGGGAGAGGATGTTCTAGCATCTGTACACTGTAAAGTTAAAAGAAATACAAATGCAATCCTGTAAGTCAGTAAATTCCATAAACTGGATGTTGTTAAAGCAAAGAACATCTGTTTTCGTTTAATTTCATTCCAAGTGTCCTTAAAAGTTACAGAACAGCTGACACCGTAACAAAAACACAGCTAATTCATAAGAGAATAAAAATAATAGAAAAGTCAGATTAAATCCACAGTGCAAAACAGGAACCCTTGTGAACAAATAGAACCAAACCAAAGTACATGATCAAAACCTCACACCTTTCTACACAGCCCAGCCAGTTACATATTTAATACATAAAGTCTCCTACTCAGACATGAATTCTAGAGAAAGCGTGAAAGAAAAATCAACATAAAAGCGAAGAGCAAAACATACTCTGCATCCTACTGACTGCTCTGAAGTGAAGGCCCTTTTCCTGAATGCTCTGATCTTTACACTGAAAACAGTGATGGATGTAAATACAAACCATATGCTGGTTAACAGGGTGAAAGCAGAATATAAGTATTTTCAGACTATACCCTCACCTTGATTTTAACCTTTCTGCTGATAGCAGTGCTCACCAAAGATCCCGTCCTTCCACACCAGCTCCCCATACAACCCTGCAGTATCTTGTCACAGAGTTTTCAGCCCGAAGAAGAGAAAGCATCTGAAGATCCCCCGAGTTCATTAGTGACACGGCCAGCGCTCCCGCAGAGGCAGCAGGCGCCTCGGTTCTGCGGCGGGCAGACACGGAGCAGCCCGTGTGGGCCCCGGGCAAGGATGGGGCCTCGGGCGCAAGGGCACAGTGGGAGACAGACTGAACCCCAAACAGGCTTGTGTTCAACCCGTGCCTTACCTTTGGGAATGCCAAAAGCAGACACTGAGTGTTTCTACTGCATTTCCCCAGGAGCATTACAGATTGGTAGAGGTCACTGTAGGTATAAATGTAGTGTTTATCTGGAGGGATGGATTTCCCAAAAACTTTACCAGTGTTCTTACAGTACCCGTAAGAAAAGCAATTGTTACACGCGAAAAAAATTTGCTTTTATATTGACTAGCTAATGTGAGAGATGGAAGGAAGCATTGGGTCAAGGGAAAAAAAAAAAACAACATAACTTTAAAAACAGGTCACAAAGAATATTTGCCACGCTTCCTCCTCTACTTCTGTACTCCCACACAGGTCAGCTCAGAGCAAGAAGTCCTAACAGAAAGGTCACACTGTCTCTTTTTACTTTGCAGTTAAAACCCCTGAAGCTTAGATTTCATTCCTAGACATACAAAAAACCTTTCACTTTCATTGATTGGTATTTCCATTCTTTCATTACTGAGAAACTCTTCTGGTTACTCCCTCTGAAAATAACTTAAAAACAAGGTTGGATGCCTTCATTTATTTTGAAAACAGATGGAAAAATGTTACAGGAAAACTAACTTTTGGAAGAAGTGCTACTGGCATTTTATATACAGAATTAAAGCCTGCTTATATTGTTGGAACAGTCAAAGCACATGGCAGCTCGTGCTAGGGGTGGAGAACCACCAGCACCAGTAGCACTCTGAACACATTCGCTGCCAGCAAATACACCAGTCAAATACGGTCTCAGTAGAAGATCCTTCCATGAACGTTGTAAAACATTATCTCTGGTTTTGTTCCTTTCCATTTTTCAGGCTACCCTCCTGAGCTTTAAAGCTGCTGCCCCTACAGTGTTCACATACCTTCTTCCACAGTACGGGGCCACACACTACAAGCAGAGTTTGCGGTGTGTACAGGGCTAAGTTGTGACCGATGAATTCTTCAGGACAGTGTATTTTAAAGAACCTCCCACGACACCTGACAGGAGCAGGACGGCTCCCCACGCAGGCATGAGCTGAAAACTCTTTTAACATCTCCGCTTGTGGCACAATGCAATCAGAGTGCTTTCATCTCTCCAGGAAGACCCATCTCTTAGTGGTTAAGTAGCAGCGTTTAAGGGAGGTAACTTGAACCACCAGGATTAAGGCATACTTTCCCAGCATGTTCAGAGGTTTTAATGTCATTTTTATGGATATTAACATTGCAGCAGCTGGTTATTATGAGCTTTAATACATATCATGAGCTTTTTGATGCCAACTAAACTGTAATACCTGGGAAATATTCCACGGGGAAAGAACTGTGTCTTCTAGGTTTCTGTGGTGAAGAAGGCAGTTTCACGCTTTAGAAGCAAAAGCTGCTGTTAGCAGACAGTTGAAAATGTCTTCTCCACTTAGCCTTTACAATGTTTCTTAAGAAAACCGAAAAGTGTTATTAATCTGCAATTGAAAAGCTATTGTAAGTTAAGTAGTAGTTGAAATGTGACCAGAGTGTCTGTCAACGGGACAGAAACCACTTTTTCTCCGGTAAAGGGTTCACTGCGCTCAAGAGGACGAGTTTAGGTACGATTTGTACGGCCTGCGGGCAGGAGTAACGGCCAGTCAGGTGGCTTCCACCTGCAGTGCAACACAGGGAACAACCACCCGGAACCCAGAGGGCTGAGAATTAAGGGCGTTTCAAAGCAAACATCAAACCCCCCGCGACCGACGCGCACCCGCGGGGTACAGCGCCCGGCAAGGCGGCGGCTGCCGCCCCGCCCCGCCCCGCCCCGGCGGCAGCGGCAGCGGCACGGAGCCCTCTGCTGCTCGGGGCCGGCGCCACAGCCCAACCGGCACCGCGCGGGCAGCTACGCGGCGGCAATACGGGCCGGGGCGGGCGGCCCCGCCAGCAAGCGAGGGGGCAGCGCCCGGCGCCGCGCGGGGGGAGCCGGGCGGGCGGCTGAGGGACCGGGCCACCGCCAACGGCCGCCCCGCGTGACCCGACCCGGCGCGCCGCTCCGCCGGGCGCCGCCCGCCTTCGCCCCGCCCGCGCCGCGCGCGACCCTAACCGCGCGCCGTAGTGACGACGACGCGCGCCGCCGGGGCGGCACTTCCGGCTCGGCGCTGAGGCAGGATGGTGAGGCGGCGGGGCCCGGCCCGCGAGGGGGGACCGTGCCGTGCCGTGCCGCGCCGCGCGTGGGGGCCGTGCCGTGCCGTGCCGTGCCGTGCCGTGCCGTGCCGTGCCGTGCCGTGCCGTGCCGCGCGTGGGGACCGTGCCGGACGTCCCGCCGCCCCCGCCCGGCGTTGTGCGGAGTCACCGGCGGCGCTGGGCCTCCGGGGCGGGCGGGCGGTTACGCTGGGGCCGGGCGGGGCCGTGGGCCGGCGCTGGCCGCTGCGGGGGTGGGGGGGGGGGGTCGGGGTCTGTCTGTCTGCGCCGCTCGCTGCCGTAAGGGCGAAGCGGCTTTGCGGCCCTGGGAGTGCGTGGGGAGCGGCCGCCGGGCTCCGCTTGCGGGAGCGGGGCGGGGGGGGGGGGCAAACCGGCAGGCGGGAGGGCGGAGGAGAAATTTGGTGGAACGCGTCGCTCTTAGCGGCGCTGCTTACTAGCAAGGAGTGAGCTAAACTGTGGTGTAGCAAAACAGAGCAATGCTGTAACAGGCAAAGACGCGCCAAGGAACGCGCCCTGCCCACCCTCATGAGCCCACGCTTGCTTTTATTCGCTGACATTTGACGATTAATTGGAATAGAGTAGTACTTGAGGTAGGAGAAATCTAATCACGTCCTTTCGTTATATGGGACTGACCGTAGGTGTCGAGATTCGGTCATGTACTTAAATGTGGCTGATGCTTTAGTTTTGTTTTTCCCTTACTTAGGGTCAAAGCCAGAGTGGGGGACATGGTCCTGGTGGTGGCAAGAAGGATGACAAGGTAACCAAAAGCAAATGATTTTAATTACAGGATGAACTACAGGTGTGCTACTAGAGAGGCTGGCTGCAACAGGCTTTATTTTACAACTTTGGTTTTTGTTCTTGAACTCAGAACTGCATAAAATGATGCTCTAGCTAGTTTTGATGAAATGCCTTATCTTTTCTGGATGCACATTGGAGAAAACAGGTTACTGTTCAAAAATAGAAAAGGGGGCTTCACTGTAAAGGAAAATGAAATTGACAATAGTAATTTATTTTTAAAAATAATAAAATTGTCAGAGTTAGAAAAGACGAGTTGCCTTCAAGCTGTCACTTAACTGATTTTGGTGTGAAAATGACTGTCATCTTCGTGGGGTCTGTACTTCATGTGGTGGACCATTTAGAGGCCTTTCCAGTTTCCTTTGCAGATGGAAATGTAATGTACATAGCAAGCTGTGTCTCAGCTGGCAAACTATGTGTTACCTGTTGGTAAAATGCAACAGAAATGCTCAGATTCAGTATTTTCCTCATGTGTGAATTTTGTTTGTGATTTACTTCGGGCTTTAGCCTTCAGTGTTCTAGATTCCCTGAAAACTGGCAGAAATCAAAATTAAAAAGAGGGATGTAAAATAAACAGGAGGAGAAATTTTTGAACTGTCTTCAAAAATAAGAATAATATTTATTTTTGGCTTCTTGCTATATATCATGGAGACAACTTTGTTATGTAGCTATTCACTTTAAGCTGAGCTCTCGCTCAGTCTGTGCACCTAACATCCGTATGGATTCTTTCATTGTTAATATCTTGATTTTTTTTTTTTTTTGCATTCTTTTTATGAATAAGGATAAGAAGAAGAAATATGAACCTCCAGTTCCAACCAGAGTGGGGAAAAAGAAGAAGAAGACAAAGGGACCAGATGCTGCCAGCAAACTCCCCCTGGGTAAGATTCTGCCTGCCCCAGCAGTCCTGCGGAGTCAGGCAGTGCAGGGCTGCCCTCTCCCTACATCTGGCTGTAGGTGGGTCACAGGTGATCAAACAGAAGGCCAAACCTAATTTTATTTCTAATTAACGTAAAAGCACAAAGTAAAATTGTTAAGCAAAATGCAGCCCATGAATTCCTGGGTGAGAGAGAAATTGAAATGAGGAGAAATGCAGAGGAAACACCTTTGGAAATGCTTTTAAACTGGAAATACAGTGAGACAAGTGAAATAGTGACTGCTGCTCATATCAAAGTTATTGTCCAAAAATAAAGCAGAATTTCTGGTAATGAATTAGTGAATAGTTGGTACCATGTCAAACTTAGTCTAAAATAGTCTGATTCTACTTTAATTACAGTGACTCCTCACACACAGTGCAGACTCAAATTGTTGAAATTGGAGAGGATTAAAGATTACCTCTTAATGGAGGAAGAATTTATCAGAAATCAAGAACAGATGAAGCCTTTGGAAGAAAAACAAGAGGTGAGGTTGGAGTGAAGTTTTACAGTAAGTGCTCTAATGTGAACTACTTCATACAAAATCAATGGAAATAGAGTGCCGTGAATGTGTCAGTCAATACGAAGCTATTGTGTATATTACAGTTCTTCATTAAATTTCAATTACTGTCCAGAAAACAGGATTTTTTTTTTCTAGTGATTTAATGGTTATAGCCCAAGCATGGGATGCTACAGATGAGGCCACAGTGGTTTTTGTGTTTCTTAGTGGTCTGTCGAAGTGCAGCTCCCAGATACCCATCAGTAGAGAAAGAGAGGATATTCGAGCTGTGCACATCCATATAGCGGTGTCCATAGGATAGGACTAAAATAATAGTGGATTTTCTTACTGGCCCGTGCTTTTGTGCCTTTTGGGGCAGTGAAACAATAGCAAAGACGGGTTCTGTTGTGTTTGCTGTGAACTGTTGAGCTAGTGTTGTACAAAAATTTTTTTGTCTGTGTTCTTGAGTTGCTTCTTGGATTCTTTTTGACAACAGGAAGAAAGATCAAAGGTGGATGATCTGAGGGGAACACCGATGTCCGTGGGTACCTTGGAGGAGATCATTGATGACAACCATGCTATCGTGTCCACATCAGTAGGGTCGGAACACTACGTCAGCATTCTGTCTTTTGTGGACAAGGACCTGCTAGAGCCAGGCTGCTCCGTTTTGCTAAATCATAAGGTGAGTTGTTTTTATGAAATGAAGCACAAGTTCTTGGACGGTTTTTAACTGGCCTTTTTTTCTGAGAATCACGAGATCACAGGGTCTGAGAGCTAATGCTGTTTGCTTCACATGCCTGAATAGATGGGCATCGGGTTTAGCCTTGAGCTTGTATTAATGCTGCTTGCTTTCTTTGACAACTCTTAATGCTTGAATTAGGTTCATGCTGTGATAGGAGTCCTGATGGATGACACGGACCCTTTAGTTACTGTGATGAAAGTGGAGAAAGCTCCTCAGGAAACATATGCTGACATTGGTGGCCTTGACAACCAGATTCAAGAAATCAAGGTATTCAGTTGTACTAATTGACACTGTTAAGTAAGCTAGGAACATAGCTGTTGTGCTGGGAGCTCCGAAGCGTAACAGCAGGACCAATTGCTGTTCATGTAGTGTTCTTTTATATCTTGCTATAGTGCATTTATTTACCTGATTTTGCCAGCTAGACTCATGGACCTGCATCTCCTGAGAGAGTAGCATACCCATTCTCAAACTGTGTGCACAGAAACTGTGCACAGGTGCTGTGGAACCAGTAGCACCCCGAGCTCATAAAACCTCTGCCAGAACTTACTATTTAGCAAGATGTAAAGCTATGGATTGTTGCAAGATGAGAGTTAAACTGTAAAACGTGCAGAGATTGTTTTGAGTGTCTGATGCCATGCAATCTAAGGATTTAGTGGGTAGGAGTTTTTTTGGCTCGAGTGTGTTTGCATTTGGTTGATTGGTTGGTTTGGTGTTTGTTTTTTTCCTACCAGCAGAGTTCTATCTGAACCCTGGTAAAACTCAACCCTTCTGCTTTGGGTAGGTGTCCAAAATCACAAATGCTCTTAAAATACTGATCTGCAGTATCTGGTAACTCATGGTGGGAGGCATCCTTTCATCAAGGGTCCCCCCACCCCAAGGTCCTCCATGAGTGTTTGAGAGTCCGGAACTCCAGGGGGCTAAATTCAGCACGATGCATTTAGGTTGTGTAACACTCACTGCTTCTCTTCCACATGCGAAGTAGAAATAATAGGAAGACCTCTTCAGAGAGAGCTAGTTGTCTGCCTTAGAACTGGAGGCAAGGGAGACACATACTTTTCAAAGTCTGTCTTGTAATCAGTTAAGCTCTTTTTGCCTTTGTTACTTTTATTATTGCTGTTCCTGAGATCCCCAAAGAACTTTGGGAGCATTCACTCTTCACAAAACCTCCTGTTTGTTTTTCTTGTGCTGCAGGAGTCTGTGGAGCTTCCTCTCACCCATCCTGAATATTATGAAGAGATGGGTATAAAGCCACCCAAAGGAGTCATTCTGTATGGCCCCCCTGGCACAGGTACCTTACAGCACAGTAACAGCTGTGCTGAGCGAACACAAGTCCAACAAATGATGGTTGCTTGGTATTAAAGCATTGTCAAGTCTGCCACAAATTTTATATGAATGTTTTGTTAAAGCGCTTTTCCTCCCCTCCCTGCCCCCACAAACTAATTACAGTATTTCTTTCCAACTAAAAACAGGTAAAACTTTACTAGCCAAAGCCGTGGCAAACCAAACGTCAGCAACCTTCCTGAGAGTGGTCGGTTCAGAACTTATACAGAAATACTTGGGTGACGGTCCAAAGCTCGTGCGCGAACTGTTCCGTGTGGCTGAAGAGCATGCTCCGTCGATCGTCTTCATTGACGAAATCGATGCCATTGGCACAAAGAGGTACAGCACTCCAGCTCCCACCTCGTGCCCAAGTGTTGCCAGGGGCAATAAGGGGTTAACTAGGAACACTTCTTTTGCAGCCATCTTGATATGTTAAGTTTCTTAGCCCTGCTACCGTTTTCATAATACTCTTCTTGATGTAAGCATTTTTAACGAGTAAAACTTGAAGTAACTTCTTTGAAACCAAAAGGCATCACAACCTTTTCACATTAAACAGACGGGAACAGAGACTTACCCTCTGTTCTCTTGCTACCTGGTAGCATCTCTAGGTAGAGCGTCTTAAGCAGAAGGAGACACTGTGTGAAAGTTCATGTGGTACCCTCCAAGTGCAAATCCAAATACACAGTAATTGGCTTCAGTGATTCAACAGTAGAGCAGTGTAGAGAATACAGCATATGGCCATTTGGTGTTTGCCTCTCCAGATAGGTGGCTAAAGACTTAGTTATGTTCTTAGAATATTGTATGGTTAAGTTACAGAGTGTGATGTCGTGGAGAGGCATTGCTTGTGCCACACTAAGCTACTGCTCAGCCTGTATCCAAGTTTTATTGCTTTGAAGCTTTGGTAGGCTGGGTGGAACTGTCCAATACAAATCACCTTTAAAGCAGTGAAATGGTTTTCAAACAAATGCAAAGGTGCTCATACATATTGCCATGCAGCTACCAGCCTCAGGCTCCCGTATAAGGCAGTTTCTGCCCCACATATTTCAGCAGATGTAGAAAGGATTGGACTGGTGATGGAGTGCCTAACATGCCAATTTCTCCATAAATTTTATGTTGCTTCAAACTGTTCCTAAACGTGGGTGAGCTGGTTCGGAGGTAGATTATCTATTCTCGTATCAGCAAAATGAAGCACCTAAGCTGCAAAGCAGAGAAAAATACAGGTGCTGGTACCTGTGATTCTGGAAGAACAGAGTTAAACCAGGATCCACATTAGTAAGACTGAAGGGCGGGCAGTTGTAACTGCATGCAGAAGGAAAAACTGAAAGGGAGGAATGAGTGACAAGCTGTATTTTCTATGAAGTGGATTCTATGAAGTGGATGCATGTGCTTTTAAGAATTACGGGGTTTTCAGTTTTTATGTTAATTTTATTGGGGGGGGGGAGGCAGCAAAGACATTTCTAAATACGTAACAAAGAGGGAAAGAGGACAGCATTCCTTCCTTTGTATGGTTGCTCTTTACTTTCCCCAGCTACAAGAATAGTTCAGTGTCTCTTTACTTGCTTAGATGTCGTAGAATGATTCTGAAAACCTGCTTTTTGTTTCCTGTGGGTGAACATTAAATTAAAAAAAAAAAAAAAAATCTGTTATGGGTGATGAAAAAAAACATCCAACCAAAACACCACACACTATTTTGTTGGTACAGTTGTGGCAGTTATGTGAAGTATGTTCTTAAATTTGCATAGTGCTTTTTCTGACTATACTGTTTTCTTGAAGGTATGACTCAAATTCAGGTGGTGAGAGAGAGATCCAGCGTACAATGCTGGAGCTGCTGAACCAGCTGGATGGGTTTGACTCCCGGGGGGATGTTAAAGTTATCATGGCTACCAACAGAATAGAAACACTGGACCCGGCTTTAATTAGGCCAGGTAAGAGCCTTCCTGCTGTGTGTGCATAAGTCACTTTTCTTGTGAAAGGACTCGTCATAACGTGTCAACTGTGGGCTGGCAAAAAGAACGTGAGTTACTGGTTTGTCTTTATTCACCATCTGATCGATGTTGGTGTACCTGTTCAAATCAGAACCCATCCGCCAGGTTCCAAATGAGAGAAGAACCTTCGGAAGAGAAGAAATATGTTAATTCCTCTTAGATATACATAAACAATTTCAATATTCTTCCTTTGTATTAAGATGGCACAGCTATTTTAAGTAATTGTTAGGGCGAGCCGTAGTGCGGCAGCATTTCGTGGCATGGTCAGCAGCCGGGGAAGGTGGGGCAGCACCACTTGGGCTTTGCAGGTGAGGACTTAAACCTTAAGGATGAGAGCCTGGGTTCTGTGGAGGGAAACCAGTCTGCTTCCTTACAGGCTGGGGAACTGCTGTCAGCTGGGGGGTGTGGGAGGGAGGAGCAGGATCACGTTTTGACAGATGTTGAGCCAAGGGCCTGAACAAGCACAAGTAGTATTTTAAAATGGCCACTGAAAACGTGTGGGAACGTAGTATGTCTGTGAGCTCAGAAAGCAACACAGGGATCAGAGGAATAAGCTAAGCCTCCCATTAGTGTCTTCAAGTAAATCATAAGTATTGAAGAGGTTGTGAAGATACTTCTTCTAAAGGAATAGAGGTAAGAGAGAGAGAGCAAAGATAATTTAAGATGTCAAAGAACTACTCTGAACATTCACTGGACTGCATGGACCCAAAGCGTTTAGAAAAAACACACCCCCCCCCATTATGAAGTTGCTGAGGTGCGTTCGTATTTTTTCAGAAAAGTTCAGTTTTGTCACCATTTTAGACTTACTGCCTCCAAATCCAGAACAGTGCCGTAAGAGCACAGCGGAGACAATACTATGCCAGTATTAAAAGGCAAGCGAAGATGATGCAACATCTGTTGAAAGGAAACTTCCTGCACCTCTTGGGTATTTAAACTGTAGCCGTTGCTTGAGCAACCAGGGCACTTCTAGCAGCTCAGCTGACTGATTCACCATTGTGTAGGATAGTCTGGAATATCCCAGCTGGTGCCATCAACCCTTTTTAGAAAAGATACTGTAAAACTAAAGGAAACCAGGAGTGATGAGGAGACGGGAAAGATTGCTCAGTGAAGTTGGACCAGTGAGTACCAGAACATCCAAAGGCCCTACTGGCATGAAGGAAACATCTGGTAGGGACTTGCAACAGAACTGTTTACATGAAACCTTCCTTCTTCAGTTAAGCGGGGGTTTTGGAGGCTTTTGGGGGTTTTTTTTTGGACATTGGTTACGTAGGGAGGAAGAGTTCAAGTCACCACAGTGATTTACTTCATGTGTTTGTATGCAGTGGAAAATTAAACTTGAGCTGTATGTAATCTCAGAGTAGAGTAAAATTTCTTACAAGAACGTTAGTATTTGATTGATGCTCTTCTGTGCTGACACGTTGGCTTTTTTATATGTGGCTCACAGAAGGTTTTTCCTGTTTCCCTGGTGAGGCATCTCACCTGCAGTGACACCGACTTTTTCAGCAGCACAGCACCTTCCAGCTCCAGTAGCTTCTTGCTCATTGCAAATAGTCTGATCTTTCTACTCTGAGACACGATTGACTGCGGTGTGAAGAAACAGTTACTGTCAGTCCAACCTTGCAGTGCTCCATCCTGCCCTGTTTCCAGTAGCTGCACGCAAAAAAACTAAGCCTGAATTTTTCTTTTGCACAGGACGTATCGATAGGAAAATAGAGTTCCCTCTACCTGATGAAAAAACCAAGAAACGAATCTTTCAGATTCACACAAGTAGGATGACCCTGGCGGATGATGTGACTTTGGATGAGCTGATTATGGCAAAAGATGATCTCAGTGGTGCAGACATTAAGGTCAGTGCATGTTACCGTTCTTTATATTTCAAAACACAAATCTCAATTCTGCTGCATCCGAAAACACTGTCTGTTGAAACTGTTCTCTAATTGCCTGTGGTTACGTCACTGAAGGACAGTCGGATGGCTTTAAAATACCTTTTGAGTGCCACATACTCAGCTTTACAAATGGGAAATTTATCAAAATCATAATTAGGAGGTAGCTTGTGTTGATAGAAGTACGTACCTGGGCTTTCTGAATATGAAATTTTAAAAGCAGCAAAGTGGAAATTAGAAAGGGAATGTGAAATCTTACACAAATGTGCAAGATACCTTAAACATTACTTGAGATAGTGCAAGATAAGAAGCATTTTTAGAGACTATTGCAAGCAGATAAAAAAGCAACTGTAGATTAGGAAGCTTCAGACATACGCAGTCTGCTTTTCTAAAGTAGATGGAGCCATTCCTAGAGTTGCCACACTAATGAGCTTAACCAAACATGACATTACTTCATCACCTCATTGCAGAAGGGTAACAGAGTCTGCTGTTAACAGAGCTGGGTGCATCTGTTCCTCACAGGAGGGAAATGCTGTTGTTATGGAGCTGCCCTCCTGCCGCACAGGCGTTACGCTCCGACGGCAGGAGGACACATTCATCCAGCTTTATCCAGCTTGCTCTGCGTGCTTCAGTGCTACTGAACAGCATCCGACTTCGGAATGTAAATTTTGTTAACACTTACTTCACTTCTGCAGTCAGTCGGAGCAGGATGAAGACGCTGCTGTCTTCTGGGGTGGGGCTGGAAGGGGTTGCCCAGAGCCAGCAGCTTACTCTTGCTTTCTCTGTTGCAGGCGATTTGTACAGAAGCTGGGCTGATGGCTTTGAGGGAAAGGCGAATGAAAGTAACAAATGAAGACTTCAAAAAGTCGAAAGAGAACGTTCTCTATAAGAAGCAGGAGGGAACTCCTGAGGGACTGTATCTTTAAGTCATCTGTGTCTTTGGGGACTATCGGGAATTACTTTCTGACACTCTTGTGTAAAACTGCACAGTCTAGCTAATTTTCATTCTTGAAAGGGTTAAATCCTGGTAGGTTGTGGTTTTTCCGTCAGTGTAACACTTCCCCTTTCCCAATAAAACATTTATTTGAATTGAAAGACCCGTTTTGGTGGCAAAGACCTGCTCCTTCCATGGAACTGTGTGTCGCTCTAGTCAGTGCCCCGGGAGTGCCCGGCCCAGCGCTGAGCCCCACGCCGGGAGCCGGGCCGGAGTGAGCTCCCCCTTGCTCCCTCCAAGGCAGGGCAGCCTTTACAACTACTGCATCATTCCTGCTGTTTCAGTTACTTTTCTAGGGGCTAAGTAACTAGGAGGAAAATCACTTCTGAGGCCACTGAGGTTATCAAGTCATATATACATAAAAATTAATGAAAAACATGCAACCTTCAGTAACATTCGGATACGCTTCAGAAGCACCCCTCTCTCTCTGTACTTGTGCTTATAAGGAAGCAGGGCGGACAGGCAGTGGGATCCTTAACGATCTAGACCTGTTTGAGTATGGTACTTGTAACACTGAAGAATTTATAAACTTGTTTTTTACCAAGAGGGTTACAGCTCATTATATAACTACGCTTTCTTTAGGCCGAAAAGGAAGCAGCCCGGGCAGGGTTCGGCAGCCCTGCGCTGCTGGACGGGCTGCTGAGGCGCAGGGTTCGTCAGGCCGCAGCCACGCAAAGAGAAAGTCAAGCTACACATTGCACGCTCAGCGCCCTGAAGCCTAATCTTAAAGTAAGTTCTTCCCCCTCTAAAGAGACCTCTTGCCTGCAGCTCCACCCCTGTAGGAGTTACTATTTTGCTAAGTTGCAGCGATGCACATACTGCTTACTAGGTGATCTGCGGAGTGTGCTTTGGTGAAGCACTTGTTAAGTTTTACTTAATTGATTTCCAAATGTTGTCCATGTGATGTTTAAGGTTTATATAAAGTTTCATATACAGACCCCAGTTAAGCAATGTGCAGTCTTTGTTCTGGAAACACTGTGGGAGCAAATGCTGGCCCACAACAGGCGTTTGAGAGTTACACACAGAGCAATCCCTTTGATAACTGCCAGTGCTGTAACAACAATGGTAACTGCAAGGCCAAGAGATGTTTTTCTATGTAAAAATTATGTGGTTTGTTGTTAAAAACAAACTACAGATGAATGGAGTCTTTTATTTAATCTTGATGACAGGAACCCTAAAAGAGAGTTGTTTTTCAGCTGGAGATAAAAAAAAAAAAAAAAAAAACACAACAGAGTTTTATTACCCATTCTTACAAGCCTAAAAACAGCAGAGTTTTATTACCCATTCTTACAAGCCTTATGAGATCCATCTCCTTGGAAGGTCACAAAAAGCCGGTGATCTTTTAGCACTTTCTAATCATGGCAGTTGATCTCATCACTGCTTGAGGGGCTGAACAGCTTTGTGGAGAGCGAGGCTTTTTTATTTGGGACATGGCTGTTAATGCTGGCTAGAAGCAACAACCACCAAGAGGTGGGTTCAACCGAGTGAAGGAAAGCTGCAATGTATTAAAGCTAAACCCAGAACTGTGTTCTGGTACACTGCCTGCCACAGCAGTAACTGAAAAGGAAACATTTGAAAACTAATTCTTACCTCTTGCAGCAGAATTTAACTTCTGCTACTTCCTCCGACGTTCCTGATCATGAGTCACACAGATCAAGACAAAAGTAATAAAGATCAGGAGAAAGTAAACAGCAAGTGTATTCCCTGTAAGGGCAGAAAAAGCTACTGGGGTCTCAATTAAGAGGCAGGACTGGCTGCAGGAGCTCCAGTTAGGGAGCAGCCTCTGACCAGCCCAAGCGAAGGAAGCGGCACCAGTGCTGCTCTGGGAGAAGCTGTGCAAAGGAAAGGGCCCGGGGAGGGGGTGCCTGGAAGAGAGAAGTGGCTGAAACAGGAGTCATGGCTGCTCCCACGGGGAGGTTTCAAGATGCAGCTGGACAGTGTGGAAGATGGTAACCTCACCTCAGCTGCCTGTCCCACAAAAGGTTGGACCTGATAATCTTTCGAGGTAGTTTCTGAGTACTTGGGTCTCAAGAGTAGGGATCCTAAACAGCCTTTTACACATTTCAGCATATTTTGTCTTATAAAGTAAGCATGTAACGTATCTTTAAATTGTTACCATATTTCATATTGCTTCTCTAGGAGCTTGCCTAAAGACTCTTGGAATAGAAGCTACTAATTAAACAACTGTGTTTTAACTACTCTGCCTTCTTTGGTGAAGATCAAATACAGACCAAACCACTAATGCTCTTATGGTGATTGCCTGTATTTGGGTCAAAAGCAAGTTATCAATTACAAAAACTTGTTTAAAAGTGAGCTGCTTAGAGATGCATGATGGGTACATTCTCGTTTTTAATACACTCACGATTCTATTAAATTAAGAAATAAAAAATAAATTTCCTTTTGAATTTTCAAATATTCAGGTATATTTTTCATAAATACTTGTATTAAAATGGCCACCTCTCAAAACATACAAATAACAAGTCGCAAATGGCTGCCCGCTCAAACAAAGATTTAGCTTTTACTAACAGTGTATGTACAGATGTAACGGCTCTTCGACTTGCTAGTTCCATACACACACCCACGCGTACCAAGCTGAAGGGAATTACCGAAGTCTGCCAACTGGAGGACAGCAGAGCATCCCTTTGGCAGATGTTTTTTTCCTGTGCTGCTCACCAAACCATAGCTGGCATGTACTGAATCTCTCCTGAACTCTAGGGAATGTAATTTCAAACAATAGAATAAGAAATGTGAGCAACGTTTGCCAGGAGGCTATTCATAAGAGGGCATCCGGTGGGAGCCAGCAATACTTCAGAGAAATGGATGCATTTTTGTGGGCAAAATGTAGCGCTTGAATGCTTGCAGCTAGTAGAACTCCATTTTGATAGCAACTTATATGAAAGCTTCAAAAAACCCAACCCAAACCAAAAAACACCCCCCAACCCTTAAGAAAAAAATAAAAAAGTACATAGTACCCAAGTCTCAACAGAGTTCCTGTTTGAAGAGAGACAGGTTGAACTGTTAGTTTTGGAACTAGGTTCTGTACTTGCTCCACTCATCTGCAGTCGTCTTTTAAACCTCTAATAGTAGATCCAGCTCTTCCATAGGTACCCGCACTCTCAGTTCTTTTTCGGTCATTAGATCGAGCGTCTCTTGCAGATGATCCGGGAAGTACTCGATTGCATCCATATAGAGTGCCTAGAAAGACAGTGAACATTTTCTGTGCCATCTTTCTATCACAGCAAGAAATGTCGTATAAAGAATTAGAGATACGCAAGCAACTCTGTAGCAAGAACAGATTAATATCATATACTTCTTTAAAATAAACCAAACAGAATTAGTACTTCTACAGTGACAACAATGTAGATGTTTAATCAAGTCCATTCTAATTCCTACTAAATAATTTTATTCAAAAAGATAAAATATAGGTCAAGAGGCTCTGGAGCATTTCTAGCATATACAGACTACCTGCGGAGCTGCAGGTGCTCATGAATAATTTCTTACACTATTAACTAAATACATTTTTATTTGCCAATATATTTCTGCTACTACCATGATCACGATAAAACATGGTCTGAAAGACATGATCACTTCCAGATCACTGAGAGAGGAATTTATTGTCTCCTTGCCTCACGCGATACAACACACCTCTCTGTTCTGAAAGGCAAACAGCACTGACCACTATGTATGTTTCCATTTCAGATGCATCTCTTATTTGCAGAAAATCTTACAGTACTTCTTCAGAAATCTCTCCTTTCATTTGCATATAACTCATAACAGCTACTAAACCTTTTGTTTGTTTGGTTGTTTTTTTTTTCAAATACAGAACTTAAAAAATCAGAGTATGATGACAGGTTTATATTTTTTCTATGCTTACCTTTGCCCAAGGACAGTTTTGAAGGGCTTTATAAAACAATCCTTTACTTTTTTCTTTTTTTCCTAGTGAAGCCTGTGTGAGAAAAAAAATGTTCATATTTCAATGCAGTAATAGGTGAAATAACAACACATTTATCTCTGACACAAAGAAATTACTGCTGAAAACTCAGTGGTGTTCTGCTGAAGAATCCTTATTACTGTATATTGTGGTAGCTCTGCAGTTTGACAGGTTACACTGGTGGCACTGGTTACGCTCTTCTCTGTGACAGAGGAGATGTCTTTAAGGAGTTTCAGGGCTTTATTTGTAAGACAAGTAATAGAACAAAGAGCAGCAGAAAGAGCCTCTGCTGAGCATTTCAGCTGAAGCCAGTGCCTTTGAGAATACTGCAGTGGGCGTCAGCGCAAATCATTAACCAAAACTTACCCCTGATATGCTACACAAGAGCGTCTTTGGTACAGCAAAGAGGGATAATACGTTAGTTTTGTGCACTGATGAGATCATGCACGTGCACTTTCTTACTCAGCAGAAGCTTGTTACAGCTGAATCCCCTTACATACAAAACTGGATATAGCAAATTAGCGTCTATCGAAGGAGGAGTCAAGGCTTCTTCCTCAAAGTACCCGTTCAACTATGTTTAAACAAGTTTAAACAAAGACGGTGAGCAGAGGTCTGACTGCTGAACAGTCTGCTTAGCTTCCGTCATCCCAGTCTCAGGTAGAAATAATTACAATTTCTGGTGAAGAAATCCTTTGGATTGGGCTACTTTAAAACACACAAACAGGGGATTCTATGTCAATTCCAAAAAAAAAGCAGTAATTCCAAAATAAATGTTTTGATATCTTTGGAGAAGAGATCTTCAATCATGAGTTTACATTTTCTCTTGTTCTGAGTACGTCAGTACTGCTGCTGAAAATTAGCAGGTTTCCTTATCAATTCTTAAAATCTAGAAATTCTTTTTCATATTATTGATACACTGGTGGTAGAAACTTGTGCTGTTCTGGTGTCACGATCTCCCTTTACTGAACAGCAGTGCATTTCACTTACTGCAAACAAGCGCTGTCAGAGCTGCGCACTAAGACACGTGCACATCTTCTGCAGCTCTGCGAAGAGCTGTCGGGAGCATTCTGCCTCTAAGCTTCTCACAGAATCAGAGGTTGGGAGGGACCTTTGGAGACCGTCTGCTCCAACCCCTCTGGTACCTCTGGTCAGAGCAGGGTCAGCAAAAGC